AACCTCCAGCTCCTGGGCTTAGGCAATTCTCTTGCCTCAGCCTCCTGAGTAGGTAGGACTACAGGCACCTGCCACAACACCTGGCTATTTTTTTTACTGCAGTTTGGCCGGGGCCAGTTTGAACCCGCCACCCTTGGTATATGGGGCCGGCGCCCTACCCACTGAGCCATAGCAAGACCCCATTCTTAAAATTAGAAAAACTAGCCAGGTGTTGTGGTGGGTGCCTGTAGTCCCAGCTATGTGGGTGGCTGAGGCAAGAAGATTGCTGGAACCCAAGAGTTTGGGTGAGCTACGATGCCACAATACTTTAGCCAGAGTGACAGAGTGAGACTTTCTCAAAAAAAATAGTAAGACAGACACTCGATGGCACCTGTGACTCAGTGGGTAGGGCTGCTGCCACAAAAAATAGCTGGGCATTGTGGCAGGCACCTATAGTCCCAGCTACTCGGGAGGCTGAGGTAAGATAATCACCTAAGCCCAGAGTTAAGGTTGCTGTGAGCTGTGACACCACAGCACTCTACTGAGGATGACAAAGTGAAACACTCTCTCTCAAAAAAGAAAAAAAAGACAGATACCCACATGGGACTCCAGTTGTTTTCAGTCTGAAGGTGGAGGTGAGGCCAACGCCCAGTCACAGAGCAAGGTCTTAGCCAGGCTGTTTAGTGGTGGAAGTTTCCCAGCGGACTTCTGCATTGCAAAAAGACTAGATGAGACATTGCTTGGGACAGTACAGCACTAATGACATTCAAGAGTAGAAGAAGCCGAGTTATGCACTTGATGGGGTTATAAATCGGGTTAATTAGAAACCGTGGGGAGATGAGGCTGTTTAGCTGTGCCAGGTGGTACTCTTTGGCAAAAGGGCATCCTGAGGGCTTAAGGTCGAGTTTGGCTTTGCAGTGCACAAACAGGGAAGGGGGCAAAGTGACAGGACATAGGAGGCGATCACCTGTACCTGATGGGATCTTGTGAGTGGGCCAGAGCAGAGGGTAGGCCTGGGATGTCCAGTGGCCTCACTGTGTGGCCTTGGGCACAGCAGAGCCACCCAGGACTGCATTCCCACCTGTAAAGTGGGAACTAGCTCCTGTTCTGTCCTTGTCATGGGGCTGTTGTATTCTGTGAGCTGGTGAGGAAGAGACCTAACAGATGGGACAGGTGTCTGAAGCTGTCCATGTGTCCTCTCCTTCATTCAGGCCGCTGGAGGATGGCGGGCGGGAATCAAAGGCCCTAGTGGAGCTGAATGGCGTCTCCTTGATCCCCAAGGGGTCACGGGACTGCGGCCTGCACGGCCAGGCCTCCAAGGTGCCACCCCAGGACCTGCCCCCCAGCACCACATCCTCCTCCATGGCCAGCTTCCTGTACAGCACCCCGCTCCCCAACCACACCATCCGAGAGCTCAAGCAGGAAGCACCCGCTTGGCCCCTCGTCCCCAGCGACCTGGGCCTGAGCCGGCCTGTGCCAGAGCCCAAGGCCCCTGGTGCCCAAGACTTCTCCGACTATTGTGGTAACATTGCTGCTGGGACCTCCAAGTCTGGGGGTGGGATGGAGGTCACTTGCAGAGACACCCTCCCAGAGCAGGTTGGGATGCTTGGGCTCTCCCAGGCGGGAAGAAGGCATGCTGGGCAAGGGGGTGGGGCTGGGAAGAGAGTGTCCTGGCTGGGACCCCTTTGAGCCCTGGGCCTCTGCTCAGGCTTCAGTGACAGTGTCTTTGGCCTGGGACCAAGAGACACCTAGGGGACTCTATGAGGAAGCTCTGAAGGGAGTGTGCTGGTCAGCCCACGTACACTTAATGAGTGTCTGGTCCATATCCAACCTAGATTAAGGGCACTGGGACGTAGGAGAAGAACAGCTGAGTGTGAGGGAGGCCTGGGCTCCTATCCTGGCTCCTCTGCCCAAGGTCTGAGTATCCTAAGGCAGGTCGCTACCTCTCTGAGATTTAGTTTTCTCATCTATAAATGGGGGTGCTAGAAGCACCTACTTTGTGGGGCAGTTTTTGTTATTAAATGGCAGGTGGGTGGCTCTAGCAGTGTTTCCTGAGGGCAAGTTAGGAATGCATGTTCACAGGCCCCAGCTGTCTTGCTGAATCTGAAGCTTTAGGAGTGAGACCCAGCAATCCGTTTGGATAAATGGTTCCAATGAGTTCATATCTTCTGTATTAAAGTGCTGGGTCCAATGCTGGGTGCAGAGTAGGTGCTTGTAAGTTATATCACTTGTTATTATTACAAAGAGAAAAAACAATATCCCCCTCCAGAAGTGTGTGGGCTGACCAAGATTTAGGACTTACACACCTGAAATGAGTGTCCCCACCTAGAAAAGGTGACCTTCAGCATCCTACTCACGCTGACCTGGCATTAGAATAGCAGATTCTGGTGCAGAATGTCCTAGGACTCTGGCCCAGGAACTTGCTTTTAGTTCATGATCACAGGGCCCAGTTCTGGAGTCTGTCTCTCTGCCAGATGAGACTGTCACCCTAGAGCAAAAGCCTGTGCACTGGAGCTGGTTCTGGGGAACACCTCTTGGGGCCTAGATGGAACCTATCCCTTTTCTCTTCCTTGTCCAGGACAAAAGCCCATGGGACCTGGTGGGCCTCTCATCCAGAACGTCCATGCCTCCAAGCGCATTCTCTTCTCCATCGTCCACGACAAGTCAGGTAGGACAGTGCCTATGGCAGCACCCTGGCTGGAGTAGGAGCTGGGGTTGGAGGTGTTGCTCACTGAAATGGGAATTTGTCCTTGCCTGCACTGTCACCCTGAGTGCCGGGACTATGTCTGACCCCCCTCTGGGTCTTTGTGAGAAAAAGGAGGAACAGCTCTGCTCACAGGGCTGTGAGTAAAGCCAGGGTGTAATAGTTATCTACTGCTATATGATAAATTACTTCCAAATGTAGCTTAAAACAACAAGGTTTTACTACCTCAGTTTCTGGTGGTTGGGAATTTGAGAGCAGCTGATCCGGGCACCTCTGGCTCAGGCTCTCTAGTGAGTTTGTAGTCAAGGTGTCAGCTGGGCCTGTCGTCATTTAAAGACTTGACTGGAGCCAGAGAGACTGCTCCCAAGCTCACTTGTGTGGTCTTGCCAGGAGGCCTCAGTTCCTTACTGTGTATACCGTCCTTTACGGGGCTGCTTGAGTGTCCTCACAACGTGGCAGCTGGTTTCCTTCGGTGTCAATGACCTAAGAGAGTAAAGAGGAAGCCACCTCTTTGATGACCCAGCCTCAGAAATTGCTGCCACTTCTAATATTTTACCCCTTAGAAGCCAGAAACTTGATCTAGCCTATACTCAAAGAGAGACTAATTAAATCTCACCTCTTGAAGGAAGGAGTATGAAAAAAATAAGTGGGTAGATTTTAAAAGTTGCACACAGAGATACTGAGAGGAGGAACATTTGGGATTCATTTGTACCAAGAAGGAATGAACTAAGACTTTCTAGTAGTTCTGCTTTTTGGAGGTCTCAGCCTCATCTACAGTAAGTTGTTCTTTAAGAAAACCCAATCTCAGGGTGGGTGCAGTGGCTCATGCTGTAATCCTAGTATTCTGGGAGACTCAGGCAGGTGGATTGCCTGAGTTCACACGTTTGAGACCAGCCTGAGTCAGACCGAGACACATCTCTAAAAATAGCTGGGTGTTATAGTGTGCACCTGTAGTCCCAGCTCTTGGGAGGCTGAGGCAAGAAAACCGCGTAAGCCCGAGAGTTTGAGGTTGCTGTGAGCTGTGAGACCGCAGCACTCTGTAGAAGAGGGTGACAAAGTGACATTGTCTCAAAAAAAAAAAGAAAGAAAGAAAGAAAGAAAGGAAACCCAGTCCCCTAGGATCAGAATGGAGGATCCCCCTACACACATACTGTGCCAGACAAGGCTGGGATAAAATCTTACTGGGTGATCTCATGCAAGATGCTTCTCTGACCCTCAGTTTTCCTCTCTGCAAAATGGGAATAACATGTATGTTTAAAGATTATAATGAGGGATTAAATAGGTTGTATCTTATATATGTATAGTACTTAGCACAGATAAGCACCTAGTAAATTAAAGATGTTACTTTTACTAATTACAGTGAACCAAATGATTGTTCTTATTATTAAAATTAAATTGAAGCAGGGGCTCTGGTTTTATGTGAGAGGCCAGCAGGGCTGAGAATTTGGGGGAAGCTGACACCAGCACCTTAGATGTAGGAGGTACACGGGTTAGATCGTTGAGATCCAGATTCAGGCTGTCTTTCCAATCTCCTGTCTGTCTGGAGCAAGATGGCCCTGGATGAATAGACTGAGCCTGCATGGCACGTGTTGGGGAGGACAGAGGGAAACTTTGGGGTAGGAGGCAAGCAGATGAGGGGTGAGGACTATGAGGACATTTTGGATTTGTGTAGGGTCTGAGGTAGGAGTGGGTAGAAGAGCTGGGGTTGTTCTCAGGGGCTCTGGAGGAGAAAGCCCAACCGCAGTAGCAGTGGTGGAGAGAGTGTGACCATCCCAGGGCCCCTGCTTACTTGAGCCGCCTGTGTGTTTTGATAGAGAAGTGGGACGCCTTCATAAAGGAAACCGAGGACATCAACACACTGCGGGAGTGCGTGCAGATCCTGTTTAACAGCAGATATGGTGAGTGGGCGGCGCGGCCGCTGTGTGGCCCCAGCAGCCGTGTGGAGCATCTCATTACGTGGCAATCACTCGTGTTCCCCAACACGACAGCGGGAGCCATATGCTGGCACCCGCGCGCCGTCAACGCTAATGTCATCCGGCGCAGGCTCCTCCTGTCTGGGTAGGGGGTGGTTGTGTCAATATTTCCCTTCCAGATTCCTCAGGGGGTGGAACTGATGGCAAAGCCCCAGACCTGGACTCAGCTGTGGGAAGCGGGGCAGGCTGGAGGTAGATTTCCCATGTCGGGGACAGCCTGGAGGGCCTAGAAAAATCTCTGTTGACCTCACAAGCTCGCCTGGGCCCCTCAGCACATGCTGTCTCCTGCCTCTGCCAGGTGTGCCCTTCACACCTTTGTGGGGCACATTGCTAAATGTTCTTTGAGACTCAACTTGGCAGTCACCTTCTCCAGGAAGCTTTTGGGTCCCCAGCACCCAGGACAGAGCCAGGCTCAGAGCAGATGTCAGCCCCCACGGTCTGGGCAGCAGATACAGATGGTGTACTTGGGGCTGGCATGGGGTCTTACAGGTTGGGGAGTTTCAGGCCCAGGAGGATGCACAGGCACTGGTGGCTAGAAGGCAGCTCTGGGTCTTGGGTCCCCTGCTGTGCCCTCTCACGCCAGTCTTCCTTAGTATCTGGGGTAGTCCTCGCTTCTTACTCAGCCTTCAGTGGTTGGGCACCATGTGTCCCCTGTCTGGGTGGGTGACAGTCCCTGGGGAGATGACACAGGTGCCCATGGACGACTCAGGGACCACATAGGTTTGACCTGGCTAATGCCACCTGATTCATGCAGACCTCTGCTATAGGGATGTCCTCTATACAATAGGGAGAGAAGAAGGAGGGATCCTATCCAGAATTGTAGGGACGATGGTGCTGATGGGGACAGAAAGGGTCTCAGTGGCCTCAGAACTCCCTGCATGCTGAGGTGGGAAGAGCAGGCCTATATCAGGAGTCAGAGAGCGCTGGCCTCCCCCACTTCCTAACCTGAGCACAGCTGACTGGGTGGGGCTTTGCCTCCTCCCTGCCCTTTCTTCCTTCTCCCTCCTGCCCTCCCTTATCACCTTGGTCTTCCTCTGATTTCTCATAGTCACTGGTCTGTTCACTTACTAGTTGTGCATTTTGAGCCCCTGTTTGTGCCAGGCACTGTAGCAGGTGTGGCTCAGGCTGACTCTGGTCTCAGGATGCTTCAGCAGGTGACTGGAATTGCAAGGTGCAGACAGCATGGTACAGACAGCATGGTACATGCTGACACACGGCAGTAAGCAGGAACCTAGAGTGGCTGAGGTCGAGAAGACAGGATAGCTCAGGGGAGATGAGATCTCAGCAGGCCGGGGGAGTCAGGTGGCTTCAGGGAGGAGGTCCCCTTTGGTCTGGACCAGGGTTAGGGAGTCCTGCGCACGTGAGCTGGAACTTCTGTGTAAGGCTCGGGCTGAGTGAGACTCTGGTGGCCTCAGTGAGGACACTGGGATAGCCTAGGTGCCTTTGATGTGGCCACCCTGGCCCATTCACTGTTCCCCTCCTCTCGTACTGTAAGGGAACCTGAACCCACATCAGAGTCTCTCCTCACCCCAGGCAGGCATGGGCCAGATGGGCAGTAATGGGAGGGGGTCTGGGGAGGAGCTGGCTCTGGCTGCCCTGGGAAGGTTCTGCCCCAGCCAGGAGCACAGTGGCCTGGGGTAAAGACCTGGGCAGCCCCACCACACTGCAGTTCTCTGGCCTGTGCATACTGTGGTCTTTACAGAATCCTGAGGCTTTTCTTCATCAAGGATGTCAGCCCTTGGGCCAAATCCAAGGAGTGCTGGGGGTGGTTGAGGACTTGCTCCTCTTCAAGCCAGAGCTGCCTCTGCACTTCACTGCCCTGAGGAGATAGAAACTACTCCTGAGTATTAGGGGACTCTGTCTGTGGGTGGGGACATGGTTTGGCACCTAGAGGCATCCCATAGATCCTGAGTGAGTAGACTTTGCTCCCAGCCACATCTTTCCAGCCACCAGATCTGGGAAAGTGGGCTATGATGAGGCAAGGGATATAGATGGGGAAAAAGCAGAGGAAAAGAAACATTAGAAATCCCAGCCTTCAGGAAGCCTCAAGGACATTGTCACCTGGGAAGACATTGGGGCTGGTTGGGGGACTAAGCCCATAGCCCCAGCAAACCAGATGAAGTGAAGGAGATGACTTCATGTAGACTTGTAGGGCTGATCACTCAAAGACTGGGCCTGGGGGTGGGGATAGGGAGACATGGTTTGACAGCTGTTGAGATTTCAAGAGTTTAATTTGACAACCAGCTAAGTGAGACTTTACAGCAGGATCTGGCTGCCAAAGCTGCCAACGCAGACCTGGGCCGCATCAACAGAAAAACACGTCAGTGGCACCCATGGAGGGCCCAGACAACTCTGTCCTGCCCTGGCCAGGGCGTGGCTGGAGGGGAGTCCAACTCTGGACTGGGACCCATAGGAACACAAGCAGAGCATGAAGAATAGTGAGGAGATGTGGGACCTTTAAGAGAGGACAATGTGATGGTCACATGGGGAGGTGAGAGTGAAGTGGATGCCCAGCATAGCTTGTCCCCTGAGAGCCCCCACCCCAGGCCTTGGGAAGAATGGGGTCCCATGAAAGTACCAGCTTGGGTCAAGCATATCATAAGTGCTTAAGAAGTATTTGGTGAGAAAATGAATGGAAATATGGAGCTGGGGTGTAAGTGAGTGGCTGAAATGGCACAAGATCAGACCTAGTGATCTACAAGAAGAACACAAGTAACCAGGTCCCCAGCCAGGATTCCATCTGCTCTGCTGTCGACAAAGCTGTCAGTTTCTGGCTGGTGTCCTAGTCATGGCACTGGTGAATGAAGGGTGTGCCGAGCCTCTCCGTGGAGGAAAGGACACACCTGTGCACACCTAGGTGTCTGGAGTTGCTCCACCAAGAGCTGACTGTGAGCCTGAACATTCCTCCAGCCATTTATTCATCCCCCAGTCATGCTGGAAGCATCTACTTTACTTCTGGCCCATCTGAATCTCAGGGCCAGGGCAGTCACAAACCCCTTGCTCCCACGGAGCTTCTGTTCCCAGCAGTGAACATGTGTAGAAATGAGCGTGGATGGAACATCAGTTAGTGATGAATAGATGGCAGACAAAACTGTTGGGGTGGAGGGGACAGCAAGGCTTTGTGAGGCACAGGAGGTGCAGATACCTGACAGGAGCAGGGAGGGAGGCAGGAGGGTCTCCAGGAGAGGGGATCTGGGTCGGTGCCCTGAGGTGGGTGTGCACCTGGTGTATGGGGAGGCAACAAGGGGATGCCTGAGAATGGGCAGAGTAATTCAAAAGGTGCAGGGAGCAGATGGGGTCAGAGGTGATGGAGTCACATAGGTCAGACTTAGCCTGTCACTGAGTGAGATGGGAGCCCATGGACGTAGTTTTTTATTTGTTTGGTTTTTTTTTTTTGAGATAGTCTCACTTTGTTATCCTTGGTAGAGTGCTATGGCATCACAGCTCACAGCAACCTCAAATTCTTGGGCCTTAGCAATTATCTTGCCTCAGCCTCCCAAGTAGCTAGGACTACAGGCACTCACCACAACACCTGGCTATTTTTGTTGCAGTTGTCATTGTTGTTTAGCAGGCCTGGACCAGGTTCAAACCCACCAGCCTCAGTGTATGTGGCCGGCATCCTAACCACTGAGCTACGGGCACGAGCTGCCCACCTATATTTAGAGATGGGGTCTCACTCTGCTTTAGACTGGTCTCAAACTCCTGGGCTCAAGCAGTCCACCCACCTTGGCCTCTCAGAGTGCTAGGATTACAGGTGTGAGCCACCATGCCTGACTTCCATGGACATTTTTTCAAAGAGAAGTTACATGATTGATGTTTAAGCAAGATCCTTCCAGTCACTGCATAGCCAGAGTGGTGTTGGGGTGGTGGGAAGTAATGGTGATCGTGGCCTCCCAGGGCCCCTGTGTCCTGGGGCCTCCATTCCATTCTCAGCCTTGCTGTTGCCCTTCCAGCGGAAGCCCTGGGCCTGGACCACATGGTCCCTGTGCCCTATAGGAAGATTGCCTGTGACCCGGAAGCTGTGGAAATCGTGGGCATCCCAGACAAGATCCCTTTCAAACGCCCCTGCACATACGGGGTCCCCAAGCTGAAGCGGATCCTGGAAGAGCGACACAGCATCCACTTCATCATCAAGAGGTGGGGATCCCTGTCTGAGATACTGGGGTGTCTGGACTGGGCAGGGCCCTGAAGGGGTGGAATAAAGGGGCTGTTAGACTTCACAGAGGGATTCATATTCCTTGGGTGGCCGTCTCCTTCCCCCTAAAGAAGGCCTGAGGTCTTTGGACTTACCTGCTGTTGTCAGGGGGCCCCCAGAGCTCAGGCAGGGCTAAGCTGGCCTCCCCCTCCTCTCTTATCTGCTGGGAGCTTGACCACCTCTCCTGTTCTCCCAGGCTACCAGCTTCTCCTGCACACATATTGGTGGGAGAACGCAGAGCAGTATGGTCTCCAAGGCACCTGCTGTCATGGCCCATCCCCCAGCCCTGTCCCCCTGCCAAACAAGCACGAGTCCCTAGCCAGTGCCCAGACTTCCTGGCATATTTCCTCCTGGATGTTTAGAGATAGAGGGGTGGCCAGAGGCTGTGTCATCCAGCCTCTGCCTCCAGGCAGATCTGTGTTGGGCACTTCCCACACATCTCTTTCTGGATGCCCTCCAAGGGCCACTCCCAGCGTGTTCTCTTACTCATATACCTGGCTCACTCGTTTATTGCCACGGGACTGTCAGCAGGCATCAAGACTGAGGATTGCGCTTTGTTCATTGCTAAATCTCCAGTGCCTAGAACAATCCCCTGGCTATAGTAGATGCCTAGTGTGTGTGTGTGGAATGAGTGGATGAATGAGCGAACATGTGCTTGTTCAGATCTGGGCTCTTGCCTTCATAGAGCTTCTCCTTAAAGCTTAGGAGATAAACAGGAATGGGAGAGAGAAAAAGGGTGGATCAGGAGAACCAGGCTAGTTGGTGCCTCTGAGGGAAGGTCCCATTTGTCAGGCCAGAGCTGGGAGGTTGGGAAGAATGTCACTCTCTAGCAGCAAGTGATTTCTCCCTGGCTTAGTGGAAAGTCTGGCAAAGGAATCAGTATGTGCCAGAGCCCTAGATAATCCAGGGATGCAAGGAGGTAGGGGCGAGAGCAAAGTTCAGGGGTCGACTCTGAGAGCATGGGGTAGTCCCATGGCCATGGGATGGACCTCTGCAGGGCTTTTGGAGGTCAGACCCAGGATCCAGGAGACCCTCTGTTTACTGGGAGAAGAGGGGATCCTAGGAAGAGAGGGCAAGGACAGGAAGCCCAAGGCCATGGTCACCTGGTCTGGCAATGATGGGGCTGGGGCTGGGCCTGTGCTATGGGCAAGAAGGCAGAGGATTAGCACAGCTATGTTTGGGGATATGGGGGGCTGTGATAGGGTTTGCTGTGATGGAATATGGGGAGTGGTTGGGGAATCTTGGAATCAAGGACCACCCCTGAGTCTCAGCTTATTGATAGGGGTGGAGTGAGACAGTTCACCTTGGATGTGTTAAATGGGAGATGCTAAGGATACATCAGCAGAGGCTGGGAAGAGATCTTGAGGGGCTGGGGCAGGGCAAATATGAGTCCAGGCCAGGCACAGTGGCTCACACTTGTAATCCTAGCATTCTGGGAGGCTAAGGCGGGAGGATCCCAGGTGTTCGAGACCACCTTGATCAAGAGTAAAACCCCAAACTCTACTAAAAAATAGAAAAAAATTAGCTGAGCATCATGGTGGGCTCCTGTAGTCCCAGCTACTCACGGGGCTGAGGCAAGAGGATTGCTTGAACACAGGAGTTTGAGATTGCTGTGAGCTGGGTTGGCTCCTGGACACTTAAGCCTGGGGCAACAGAATGAAATTCTGTCTCCCAAAAAAAAAAAAAAGGAATGAAAAAGAATCCTGACAAATCCCCGGGGATCTTCACATTAGAGGTTGGGGAAAGGAAACTAAGAAGGGGTATGGGGGCAGGGGGAGCCAAGGAGGAAGACTGTTCTGCAAGTCAGCCCTGACCATGTGGGTCTCCCTCAGAATCCTTCTCCAGCCTTCAAGATATAGCATTCTCTCTCAGCCTCCCCACAGCCACACTGTCAGCCTTAGTGCCCACTCTCCCTCCTGCCCAGGATAGGGTACGACCTAAGGTGGCTGTCTCTGAACATGAGCTGCTTCACCTGCCTCCTGCAAGCCTTGCTGAAGCCTCTCCCTCAGTCTGCAGCATCTCCTACCCGCCCTCCCACCTGTCTTCGTCTTTCAGGATTTGCTTTCCTCTGCCTTTAAATCTGTCCCCTGTCTTCATTCGGAAAGAATGTCACCCTCCAGCAGCAAGTGACTTCTCCCTGGCTTAATGCACCCCTCACCTGCTCCCATACAGGAGTGGGACCTCATCTGGCTTCCTCTTGTATCCTCACAGCACTTACTTGGGGCCTGACTTGATAAATGATCCTGGAGATGAATTGAAATCCATCACCCTTCAGTTGGGCAGTGCTTACTTATGTCTAGCTTAAATCTTTCTTGCTACTAAGTCCCTCACTTGGCTCCTAGCAGGGGGCTAAGAGGAAAAAAAGCAGCAAGGGTACCCTGTGTCCCCTTACAGGCCTGAGCACAGTGTTAGGCCCTCACTGTGGGTGATTTTGAGTTCCCTGTTCTTCAGTTCAAGCTGTAGCCCACTTCATTCTTCACCAGTATCTGCCACGAACTTGTAGCCCTGCCCTTCACTGGGCTCTGCCTAGACATCACTAAATAGCAGGTCCTGTCACAGTGGGTGGCCTCCCAGAGGGCACATCAAAACACATTCCCAGGTGTACAGGACTCAGTAGCGTCTGTCGAGGCTTTGGCATCAGGCGGACCAAGTTCGAAGCTACACACTTGCAGTGTGATAACCCTGGACAAGAAGCTTCTCTTCTGAGCCTCAGTTTCCTCATCTGTAAAAACAGGGGCAGCAACACACCTTCCCAGGTTTTTCCAACATAAAATGAGGATGTGGACATAACAGGCTGCCATGTAGTAGCTGTTCTATCGCATGAGTCCTCTTCCTCGCCACACTTCCTGGGGGGTGACAGCACAGCTAAGTGCATGGGCACAAATGGCCTTCCCATCAGCCAGCTGTGTGTCCTAGGGCAAGTTACTTAACTGCTTTGTGTCCCACTTACATAAAACAGGTCTGATAACTATCCCATATCTTAGTAATGATTGGAGATTAAGTGACAAGATACTAATGAGGTGCTTGTACAGTTGCTGCTCCAGTTTGAGGCCTCAGTGCAGTTTTCTCTGTTGTACTCCGCAGACTCATTGGTCCAGCTTTTGAGATTGTCCTGGCAGACGTGGGTTAGGAGAGAAGAGGGTTTAAGGTGGAGCCTGGTCCTCTTCTGTGGAAGCCTGTCTAGTTTAAGGTGGAGCCTGTCTGTGGCTACGCGAGATGGGGAGGTTGGGGTGCTCTCAACCAGGCATGTGGGGCTTGTTATTGGAGGTACAGGGTCCTGCTCACCCCAACTCATGCCAAGGTCTGGCCTCAAGATCCTCAAGCCCATATTCCCACCAGGATATAGCACAAGCCTCAAGGATCTGAGTTTACCCCTTGGGGCAGAACTTAAATGGAGAAAGTATCTAGAGAGGATTCTAGAACTCAAAACTATGCTTAGAGGCTTTACAATCGGTGCGTGTCAAGCCTTCCAGTCCAGCACCCCGTGAGGGCATCTGATGTTCTCTCCAGCATCTGAACTCCATCCCCTTCTCCACCGAGAGACCAGTATAAGCCCCTAAAGCTGTGTTGACACCCTGGCTCGTGCTTTCCAATAAATAAATAACCCCGTAGGTAATAAAAAACCAGATGCCAGCAGCCTGTCTGTGGAAGGGGCTGAGTGTGCAGGCCTCAGAAAGGAAGCCATCCACCCCAGAAGTGCTCCTTGAGGCTGCTTCTCAGCCTTGTGAGATCCAGAGGTGTGTGAGCCTCCAGGAGCAGCAGGGGACTGGAGCCTCTCAGGATGAGCATAGAAGCCACGTTGGGGCTCATGCCTGGCGATTCAGGCTCTGCTTCCTGGGACTGACTTCTTTGACTCTGCTGGAGTTTCCTGCTAGGCCCCCTGGGCATTGTTGGGTGTGTGGACTCAGACACCCCTTCATTCATTTTGTGTCACCTCTAGAGCCTAAGTTTAGTGACAAAGGCCCCATCCTCTTGTCTAACCACTCCGTGGCACAAGGACTGTACTGAAGCCCTCAGCCAGCTGTCTGAGACTCTCAACCCACTGGAAGCCACCTCAGTGGAGCTGAGGGTAGGACAGACAGAAGCCAGCCCTGGAGGTCACCCTTGCCGACCTTTGCTCAAGCCTCCACTTCCTCGCCAGAGCTTCCAGCTGCCTCCCCTCCAGTCCATCGCTCAGTGGTCTGACTGTCACTCATCGTACCCAGCTACCCATAGCTAGAGACCAGGGGCCTGAGCACAGCACCGAAGACTGTGTGCCTCACCTCCCCCAGCCTTCTCTGAGCCTCAGCTTGTCATTCCCTCCTCCATGAAGGGTTGGCCACCCTACCTCGGCCCCCGGCTGTGAAGGGTCGCCCAGGTCACTCTGCATGGCTATTTGCCATGCCCTTTTTTGTTTTTGGCCGGGGCTGTGTTTGAACCCACCGCCTCCGGCCTATGGGGCCAGGGACCTACTCCTTTGAGCCACAGGCACCGCCCTATTTGCTATGCCTTTTGCTGTGACACAGGAGGTTTTGGGTGAAGCTCCTGGGATAGATGAATGAGTCATTCACAGTTGGGTGCTGATGGGAAAGGGGCTTGAGTCATTCACCTGGGGTTATCAGAGGCTCCCAGGGTGTCATGAACAGGTTGGATGCCCTAGGACCCCCGGGGACTGGCCTATGCCTTCCCTGGCTGTCAGGAGACAATTGGAATATTCTGTTGTTCTTAACTGTGGCATCTCCTGTAGCTGTATCTGCATGGGGGACTTAGTGAGGTCACTGAAGGGGCTTTGGAAGCACCTCCCTGAGCCCCTAGAGAGCCCCCGAGCCTACGTATTCTCACATTCATCTCTCTTTTCTCCCCTAGGATGTTTGATGAACGAATTTTCACAGGTATGTGGGTACTGTCTCTGAAACCTCCAAGTTAATATCCTGACAGTCCCTGAGCTGTCATCACACTGGACCCAGTCTCTTGAGTCCCTCCCCTGGGGCCAGGAAGGAGTCTAGGCTGTGGCTTTTATGTCCTGGGACAGACATGGCCCCGGTCTCCAAGGTACTGACAGACTGTTGGGCATGGGATACCCTGATAGGGAATAATAAAGCTAAGATTTGCTGAACACTGACTGTGCCAGCTTCTCTTCTAAGCTATTGGCATTTATTATTGTCATTTAATTTAAT